GGCAACAAATCCACTAGTCTCCTGTTTCAAATGTAAACATGAATGGCTGCCATTAAAAAAAGGCTTAGCGGCACTTAGACAACTTTAAAATTGTTGATAATTCTAAAAATATTGCATACAGATTTACTAAAGGCATAAAAACCTTAACCGGAAGATGAAAACAACATAATACAATCCTTTTTAAAGCAAAAAATGTACAATTTACAAACATATAAGAGTAAAGAAACTGAGATCACTGAGCCGGGTAACAGAGTGGATATATATATAAATATATTTATATACGTTTGGTGTGGCTGATTGCAACCAAAATATGAGGTGCACATCTGCATGTTATAGCAGTCCTATATACAAAATTTCAACGTCCTGAGGCTACTCGTTTTTGAGTTATGCAAGATACGTACGTACGCACGCATGTACATACGTTCGTACAGACGCCACGAAAAATTCTCTTCAGAATTAATTTTAAAGCAGTTTTATAATTTTTTTGAAGGAAAAGAGTATTTTATTCTGTCCTTACGTACAGATATCACGCAAAAACATCGTTAAATTGCATTCGATAGTGGTCAAAATGGATATTTTCGTTGAAATATGCTGCCTGAAACTTTTCGCGATTACAATACTTCCTTTTTACATCGTACAAGGAAGTAAAAAATATCTGTTGTTACACTGGTTATCATAAATTAAGGGAAAATCACAAAAGTAGGGATAACTCTCTCAAAAATAAGCCAAACCGTGTAAAATTTGAATATGTTGCCAAGTAAGAGTAGCTGAATAAAACTGCAATATGCAAATTAGTGGCACTGCACTCGGAATACGTCATCTGCGAGGAGCATAAAAGTCCATGTTTGAGAGCAAGCCCACATATTTCACTGTGTTAGTGACATCAGAAATCTGAGATAGCCAATTCGTAACAATGACCTACAGGCATCATTTGCCTGCAGAACTAGGATGGATAGCCACTGGGGGACTAGAGGCAGGATAAAGTCAAACAGAAGTGGCCAGATGGCTAAATGTGATTCCTTCTGTGGTTCATAGACTTTGGAGGCAATTTCAAACCACAGATTCGGCATCTAGGAGGTTGAGCCAAGGACAGCCAACTGTTACAACGAACGCCGCTGACCGATATTTGACATTATGTGCATGCAGGAATACAACCGCTACTCCGACTCTTCTTAGATTCTCCCTTACTGTAGCCACCAGAAGGTTGGTGTCAACGTCAACTGTGCGTAGAAGGCTTCAGGAAGGAGGTCTGTATGCGAGGCGACCAGCCGTTTGCATGCCATTCACGTCACAATAGGAAGGACCGTTTGCATTAGGCACGACAACTTGTCTACTTAACGCCTGATCAGTAGAGGGCTGTTTTCTTTACGGATGAGTCTAGGTTTAGTCTAGAAAGCGATAGTTATTTGATATGGAGAGAACCTGGAATCTGTTTTCATCCGTTAAAGAGATGCATATGGAAGAGGCAATGTCTGTGTTTGGGGTGGACGCACAGACCTCCATGTCTTTCCAATGGAAATCGGGAATACTCCAGTTTATAGAGATGACATCCTTGATGCTTATGTGCGCCCATGTGCCGGGGCAATGGGTGATGCTTTCCTGTTACAGGACGATAACGCAAGACCACACGGGGCTTGCATCATAAATGATTATCTTCAACAGGAAACGATTATACGCATGGAGTGGCCAGCTCGATCCCCGGACTTGAATCCTATAGAGCACGTTTGGGATGCTTTAGAGAGACGTGTAACTGCTTTCAATCTGCCCCCTCAGACCCTTGCCGCACTTGCAACTGCTTTGCAAAAAGAATGGCTCTCACTTGCTATGGAACTGATTGACTGCATAATTGAAAGCATCGCATCGCTGTATGTGCTGTATTGCTTCTAGAGGCGACCATATTCCATATTGAAGGTACTTTTCCTATAGCAACCTGACACCTTCGATTTGTTCATTTTATACATGTGCTAATTTCTATGCTACCATAATTGTTAATTTATTTTTATGTTATTTGATACCTTACTATGTGTTGCATATTGTGGGTAAGTTTCATAAAATTCTACATGTAACTTTTTCAGTAATCGTGATTTTTGTGATTTTTCCTTAATTTATGATAAACAGTGTATATTGAATTGAAATAGAAACCCGCCACTGTAAGCTTTATAATAAGGCAAAAAATCAAATCAATCTTAGATTAGCGTAAATTTTGAATAAATCTATGCATTTCAAGGGCAATTAAGCGTAAGTTCTTTAGTAGCAGGAGAAAAGGAACTGCCATATATATAAAACTATGCCAATCTAAGTTTGCTTTTTGTTTAATTATAAAAAGCTGTTATAGTTATCTTGGAAGCAGCAGTAGAATTCTCCTAGTTAGTATGCGGTTGAAAAAAGTATTTTATAAATGAATGTGCATTAAAAAAAAAGTCTTTAAAGTTTTAAGAAAACGAAAGTAAGTTAGAAGAGTAGCGCATTTTATCTAATATTTTTAAATTAATGAGTAAGTGTTATTAAATTTTTAAATGTTTAAGTGTAAAATGCACGGAGCATTAACATTGTCTCTTGCAAATTATAGCTTTCACACACAGTTAATTTTGAAATCGGGTTTTTCTTTTTTTAATTTGGGGCATTACAAAGGCCAGAAGTGATAATTTTATTATGGAGGCACCTAGCAGGCGGCCACCGTTAGGTCCTATGAAAAGACAGACAAATTATATCCATGCCCATCTCCAGGATTCAAACCAGGCCCTTCGGTACGTCACTCAGAGTATATAACCTTTTTCCCGTCTGGGCGGCTTGGCTTTTCAAATTAAAAATGTGCATTTCTATTTTCTGAATTTCCGCAGTCAGTGGAAATATGACAAGCTCTATGAGTTAGCCCTTCTCTTCATAGTACTGGTATGTATAGTCTAATATGACCATTTTGGGATAATTTTATTTTTTTGCGATGTTACTTCATTTTTAAAAATTCAGTCTGTAATATTTTGATAACTAACCGATTTTTTGTGTTTTTATATGCAAATGGGCGGAACTTCAATCTGAATGATAACATTAATCACGATTGCATGAAGTGGTGCCTACTATACTGCAAAATATGTATTTTATGACTATCTTAGTTATTTTTCAGTAAATTTATGAAATTGGGAATCATAATTTAAAAAGGCATAAATTAAATTAGGAATGGTATAAACTGATGGTAGTATGTACTCTTATAGTATTTTATTTGCATTGCACTTTGTGTCTATTTGAAGTATTTAATAAAACTTAAGTTTATTGCTTTTAGCTAATTAGTTTTAGATCCTAAAAATCTCATACTTAGTTGTTTTGCTTCATGAACAAAATTTTTAAGTGTAATAAAATTAAAGTAAAAATAAATATTGTAGTTTGTTATAAGATAAATCTTAAATATTTTTATTGACAGCAAGTATTTAGTTCTTTTATAGCACAGTGCTATTCAGTACTTAGTCTTCAAAATTGAAGTGCACAGCGCTGTTTGCTATGGCTAAAACAAAAAGTCTCCTGAGTGGTTAGATACTCTCTCATGCCTATGATTAAACGGAGTATAAATAGGTTTATTTATTAAAATGCATACATAAAATGCAGATTTTTTTTGGCCACATTGGGCTTGGTATTTTGTAACATTTGAGTATCATCTGAGCCATATTTTTAAGAAATGTTTGTTGAATCTTCATTCTTTTAATTATTTATAGATTGTGGTATATAAGTGCACTTAATTGTAAGCCACAGCAACGGGTATTTAATAAAGCATTTAAGTCGTCAAACAAGAGAATTAATTTTACTTCGTGAATATAGAGATGTGTAACATCTAATAGTTAGTAAATAAATAAAACAGCCATGAATTATTACACAGAATGTTGTAGATTTGGGAGAAGTAACTGGAGACAAAAATAATTGTATGGACAGTACTGCAACATTTGAAATAAACAGAAAAGCTAAAATATGGTTATCTTGGCATATAACATTTTCTGAGAATGTACCGTGAATATTATGAGACTAAGATACTTGATTTATGCAAGAAGTATGTTCAGTTCAAAACATTAGCTGCTTTCCAGTCCCAAAAGTGACTGTAGTGAGAATTAGTTTCAGTTCTCTTCAGTATAATTCTTTTGGAATCCTTCTCCTTCAGGCAGTTCATTTTGTTTTGTGGATTTGTCTATAAGTGCTTTTTTTAATGTATCACATTTGAGGTTTGAAATGTAATTAACACTGCTAAGCATCTTCAAACAAGAATTATAATTTTTAATGAGTTGTAGCAGAACATTTCTATACTTGATTTGAGACTATATTACTCTAACTTATATATTTTTTCCCTTGTTATTTGTGAAGTTACATAATACTGATTCCTGTAAATCCCATAAAAATTTATTTCCTAAAACATAGTCTTCAAAGATCTGAGCAAAGAATATGAAAAATTAGTTACCATATTTACTTGTATGTTTTTCCGTTTACTAATTTCATAACTTAAAACTCAAGAAGAAAAATTACGCGTACTGTTAATTTTCAAATTCTTTATGATTTCTGACCCCCAAACCCCTCCTTTTCTAATTAATTTTTAATAAAATTTTCCATTTCCACCAGGGTCTAATTAGCATAATTCAGCTCCAAACTATCTTACTGTGGGTTCAATGGTGATCATTTTGGCACATTTTTCAATGCCCATAGTGGCGCAAAAAGTATAACATTTGATAGTTGCAAGTGCTTGTATTTTTCAGGGAAGCCGAGATATCCACTTTAAAAAAAATACTCTTATACTTCCACGTCAGGCAGTCTTAAACTTCTAATCAATCCTTGTAAGTGCATTGCAGTTACTTATCAAATGCACTTTTATTTGTTTATATATGCATAAAATATTTAAACTGCTTATCTTGTTACTTAATTACGGAGGTTCTTTTCTGTTCTGAGTAAGATGATGTTTTTTCTAAGATATTTTATTTAAAATATGATTGTTTATATATGTGAATGTTAACGTTATTTCTCTTCTTTAGGTTTCTTACAATCAAAATTTAAAAATAAGTCTCCAAAATTTATTGACAATGTGCAGCGAGGATATCTTGACAGAAAACAATTTCAATGCTCGTTGTGTCATTACTCGAGTGATCGATATCGTGACATCCGAAGGCATGTCTCTACCCACAATGCTAACACTTGCAATTATTGTGGAAGATCATTTGCACGCAAAGAAACATTACGGACACACATTAATCTTCATACAGGAGAAAAACCATATGCATGTGATTCTTGCCCTATGAAATTTTCTCACCCATATAGCCGCTGGTTGCACCGAAAAAGTCATGTTTAAATGCAAAAGCATGTCAAATACATTGAAGAGCCAAAACATTATGACCACCTAATCAATAATGCGTTGCGCCACGTTCTGCACAGTCCCATATCTAATAGTGTCCACTGAACTATGTGTTCTGAAACACTTGCATCTGCACCTGCATTTTTTTAGCTGTCAGCTGAGCCAGTTTCTGCCACCAATTTTATTGTAGTAGGCGGGACAGTCTCCAACATCCTTTTTCTTTGATGCCGCGTTTGAATGTCCAAAATCTTGGCGTCTACTACTACTTGGCATTTACTACTGGTTGCACCATCATTTATCCACTTTGTGGAAATACTAACAATAGTAGATCTTGAACAATCTACCTGTCTTGCTGTTGCGGAGATATTCGTTCCGAGTCTTCGGGCCATTACAATCTGCCATCTATCAAATTCGCTTAGATCAGCAGCCTTCCCCATCAATCGCAAAAGTTAAATGCAAGAATGATTCCTTACCGTCTCCATTCCCATTTAATCACGTGCCTTCCACGTCATCCATACGGGTTCATTGAAAAATGTGGGGATGAAGTAATGGTTTGGCTTGTCAGTGTATGTGCATTTGAAAAGTAATAAAAGCAATTGTATGTGTGTGAAAATGTAACAAATAATTTTTCTACCCTAGATTTTTATAGATGAATGTTTCTATTATTAGTGGTTTTTCTACTGTAATACATTTATTCTGATATTTATTTATGTTTTTATGCTGATTTGTATATTTCAATTCTTGATACAATTATGTGCTAAGCTATATAAATCTAATTTTTTTGCTTTTTTCTACATAATGATGCATAATGTTCTGTTCTTGTATGTTGGTACAGATTTTGATTGTGAACTATTTTAAATGTTTAAAAATATTATGTAAAGCGTTGGAAATTAAGATTAGGCTTTTCATTACACATAATAAAGTATGAAATTTTGAAAACCTTAAATCGATATTACTTTACTAAAGTGGTGTTAAAGTACAGTACAAAGTCCGTAATCCGGAATGATCTATAATCCGGACCTCAAAGCCACGAACTTTATGCATGCGCGTAGAGAATACGCATACATTACGCATGGGCGTGTTGAAAAAAATGTTTAATGAAATAAACAAATAAATATAAAGTGGTTTTTTTTTTTTTTTTTTTTTTTTTTTTAATTTGGAATATTTTAGATCATAATTGCTTTTTATTTCATAAATTACGGTTTCATATTTTTAATAGTATAATTCCTGCATGTCATCTTACCAGATTTAAATTCATGATCTATAATCCGGGGAAAAACCCTAATCCGGAATCGCTGAAGTCCTGACGAGTCCGAATTATGGATTTTGTACTGTATTTTGACCTGTTAAACTAGATCAACACTTATAACTAGTAAAGCCTGGATAGATTTCTGGAAATACTTCAGGTGAACCGAGAAATGCATAGGTGCTATAACTGTAGCACCATCTATTGAACAAATAGAAAGAAAAAGTATGAAAATACATCTGATAAGGCTATTGAATTTCCATTAATTTAAAATTGGATCTCCTTCTTTACCAGCTTTAAGACCATAAATGTTGGTAGGGTAAAAAATACCTCTTTTGTAAAAATCTTAAATTGCAACAGTAAATTGATTCTAATTAAAGTGTATTTAATTTGTCATAATATTTATATTCTCCTGTTCTGTGACTGTATCCGTATTTGTTAAAGCTTAAATTTGATATTAAATATGAGATTACTTAACAAATGCAGTCATTGCTTTATACTCTAATCTGCTAGAATTTTTAGTGATATTTCAATGGTTTTAATTAGTAGGTAAAGTGGATGTTTGGTTTTGAAGTAGGACACTGTGCCCAGGCACCCAAGTGTTTATTATTGTTACACGGAGTGTGAGCTTTTATGGACCAAAAAAAAAAGTTTGTAAATGGAAATGTCATAAACAAAAGCAATAAACTATTCGAGAGGAGCATAGCAACGTATAAATTGATGCACAAGTGCACTATATAATCATTTCTTAAATATAAAAAAAAAAAAAGGAATTTTCTTTACTTTTTTTTTTTTTTTTTTCTTTCTTTCTTTCCAACAACTGTATTCCAGTACAACCATAGACAGTTATGGTGTAATGATTTGCATGGTCTAATGATGTTCATAGTCTTCAGTTATCTCTGAAGTTTGAAATAATGCAAGATCTGCCTAAACTGAGGTAAAATTATTGAATATAATTTTGAGATAGCCTGATTGCAGATATCTTATTTCTAGTGATTCAAACTAGAGAAAACAAATTAAGTAAATAAATATTTTTAAGCGCCGCTCAGCAATTTAGTAAAAACCTATTGCTATATTTATTGCAAAAATTTCCAAAACTTTTTAACACAATTTCCAGGGGTAACAACGCTTCAATTCCAATGCTAAATTATGATTCTCATGTAATTAACAGAAGACGGCCTGGAGCCGTTCTTATACAATTATACTGAGTACTGTATTCATATGTATGTTATGTTTTTTGTATTACCCAACCATAATCATCATTTTTCGTGTACCCCTTTCTAAACATATGTTTCCTGAATTGAGTCTTCCCTCCTCCCTATGATCTGTCTGCTTTCTTATTGTTACTTTATATCAATTTAGTTGTAGTCTGTTGTAACATGTTATTTCTGTTTGTATTGATATTTGTACATTATTTGGAACAAAGCCTGTAGTTTTCTGTTGCTTCCCTTACTTTCAGCCAATAGCTAAGTTTCCAGTCACACGTACCATGTAACCCATCCTAACGCTTCCATTGCTGCATCGATGCATTACATTCAAGCTTTGACATCGACAAGCATGCTTCATCTCCTGTAGCATCTATTATGACAAAATTGCTATCTTTTGTTTTTACTTTACAATGAATTGCTTTCTGAAATGCTATTCTGCTTATACGTTATTTTTCATGCTACGTTTATCACTTATCTTGATAGCCTGGGATAGGGCTTCTATGCTTCCAACACTGATTTCATCAAACTTCAAACTTTTCAGAATAATTTCCTCTGAATTACTGGAGCACCCTATTTCGTTCGTAACGAACAAGTGAACAGAGAACTTAGGCTTCAGGAACTCAAACAGTTTATAAATAAACTCGGTAGCAACTGTTACAATAAAACAACCGTCAACGAGACATTGCATTACGCAGAGAATTTTAAGTGCATACTTCTTGAAATTGACATTAATATAAGGCTTTATACCACACATTACTTACAGAAATTCTTCCTAACTTCACCCCAGACTTTGAATCTTTCCAGATTTCAAGCACATTCATGCCACTACATGTAGGCATGGGCCCTTTCGAAATTTCAACCTTTACTTATGCTTTCTATCAAAAAACACACTAGGACAAATACAAGAGGTTTCCCCAGCTGAGATTATTTAAGCTGCTGGAAATAGCACTGCTGGAAAGTTCACGTTGACGCTGACCTAAATTTAAGTATCCAAGGGCTCCGGCCCATGAACCGTGTTCCGTGGCCTGCGGCCACCTAAAAATACCACAATACCATACCCATTACCATATGATAATTTAATACCATATTCATTGTAATGCATATTTGAGTTAATTATTCATCTAATAAATCATTTTATGTTAAAAACGTGAAGTGATAGATTAAATTGCAATTTTGTTCTGAATTACACAAAAGTGTTGTAGGGCGATTGTTTATTTGTTGATCAATGGATGTGAGCAAGAAAGAAAATCTATACAGATGGAGGACAAAATAATACGAACACCTGTGAAATAATGGAAAATCTTTATTAATAGGGGGTTGGACAACTCTTTGACTGAAGTGAATGCTATGTGGGATAGATGCATAAAGGTCATATTCAAAGGAATATTAAGCCATTCCTCCTGCAGAACGGTCTCTAATTCTGAAAGTCTGGATGGAGGTAGAAATCGGGAATGAAGTTTGGACTCCAAATATGCCCATAAATGTTCAATAATATTCAAGTCTGGAGACTGAGGGAGCCAAGCGAGATGTTCAGTTGCATCATCATGCTCTTCGAACCATTCTTGAATACACCTAGCAATGTGGATAGGGGCGTTGTCATCTTGAAAAAGGCGGTCTCTCCCCAGGGAATACTGTCTGGACAAAAGGATGGACATGATCACCTAGAATGCTTAGATAGTGATTGGATGTGATTCTCCTATGCAGAATAACAAGTGGCCGAAGACCACGGCAAGATATCGCACCCCATACTAAATGACGCCACCATGCTTCACAGTCGGCAACAAGCAGTCAGGATGAAACGCTTCTATGGGCGTTCTCCAGACATAAACGCATCTGGTCGTCTGAAATAGGATGAAGGACGATTTATCTGACCATATTACCTGTTGACACTGCTGTGGGGGCCAGCCTTTGTGATCTCTGCTCCATTGGCGTCGCTTGAAAGCATTAGTTCCTGTCGCCAAAGGTTTACAAATTGCCATTCTGCCATAAATGTTCGCAGCATGAAGTTCCCTTTTGACAGTTTTTGTTGAAACGGAGTCCTGGAGATTACTGTTCATTTCGGATGTTATCTCGGATAACGATTGCTTGTGCTTTATGCGCTTCAAGACCCGTCTTCCCCCATCAGCCAGCTTTGACTGTTGTGCTTTGAAGACGTCGTCTTCACGGACGCCTCTTTCATGTACGCTGTCATAACGCTGATACTGTACTTCTTGCACACCCCACAAAGTTTGCTATGTTCGCAACCGATACTCCACTTAAACGCGCTCCAACTATCATTCCTCTTTGGAACTCTGACAGGACTCGCATTTCAACTCAAAGCATACAACGCGGGTGACTGCTGTTGAGAGACTGATACCTTCCTTTTCACGCTCACTAGGTGGCAGACTTCTGTTGCAGGTGGCGCGGATATACTGCAGGTGTGAAATATGTCATACTTTTTCACAGGTGTTCGCATTATTTAATCCTCCATCTGTATATGATACCCAAAATTATCTTATTTCTTCAGCGTGTAACTTTTGCAGCAGCAGGTTAATATGAATAATTTGTTTTTAAAGTAGCATTTGTAATTAATAAAATATATTTATGTTTTTAATTTGGTAATCTGTTATTTATAAAGTTAAATTTTAATTAATTAAATTTAAATCATTAAAACACTAATCCTCAGAAATGTTTATAATCTTCAGTAAGATCGAAAGACCTAAACAAGGTAGTTTGATTATTTATTGTTATTTTAAGATGTTTAAATTCTTTTTCATATTAAATTTGGTAATTTTGGTACGTTTATGTTTCAATTCTTTTCTTATGAATATCGCGTGTCAAAGAAAATTTTTTGTTGTGCTTGAAACTATGAGCACTTTTCTCCATTTCTGTTTACGAATTTGCTTGCGTAAGTTTTTGCTTTATTGTGATTAATTATATATCACAAACAATGCGCTGAACCATACTGTCATTGAATATTACCAAAGCTAGTTTAAAACAGTGTTTCCTTATGAGAAAAAATAAGATTTATTTATTGTATTATTATTTGTTTTTGTAAAGTGAAAATTCCATTCTTGTTATGCAGTTGTCTTTACAAAAAAGATAATGTGAAAAAGGTATGTTTTTATATATTTTTGTAATATTTAAAAATTAAAATGTAAACATTAATTATATAAAAATGTATGGTCGGGTATGCATTTTTTTAATCATATATAATTAAATAAAATTGAAAAGTGTCTTAGAAATGTTTCATGTGTTAAAAATTAATGTTTTCTTACAGGTTATAAAGGCTCGCTGCATCTTCCATGTGACAAAAAGATTAGAACACGGATTTACAAGTCAACCAACCTGCTATATCAGTGCAGTTTATGTTCTTATTCAAGTAATTACAAAGCAAATTTAAGAAAGCATCTGTTATGTCATACTGGGCAAAAGCCGTACAAATGTCTAATGTGTGGAAGAACATTTACACGACGGACAAATTTAAAACGTCACATAGAAGAATTGCATAGGTGTGATGTATTGAATTTTGAATGAAAATGATTTATAGGTAACATAACAGAAAATATGCGATTATACAGTTATCGTTTGAAAAGTTTATTATGTATTTAGAGCATATTTATTAAAATAAAATGTAGCACTTTTTATTTGATTATAAGTACGTTGCTTCTTTCAGTAAATGATGATTGTATGTGTAAATATTCACTAAATGTTTTGGAAAATTTCTAAAATGTTCTTAGAGAATACCAGGAAAATAAGGTAGTCTCCCAAAATATGAATAATTAGCTCAGAGGGGCGTTAGTCCAAAAAGGCTATTAGTCTCGAAACAGCATTTTGCGTTGAATCACTAAAAGTATTATATCATTTTTCAAAATGTTGCCACCAAATATTATCGCCCTAAATTATATTTACAGAAATTAAATAATGAAGAATCTACATGAATGTATGTATCTTTCTCATACTGTGAAAAAACAACGGTACCTATAACCATCAAATTTTGCATAACGTCGTCCTGCATCGAAATAAAACCCTAATTTAGAATATGGAATTTGTTTTATTTCCTATTTCATATTTTGTAAAACTTTAAAGGAATATTTGATTAAAAAACTCAAGCAAGCAATAGGAAAAAAAAATTGTATCGCCAGCGAGCGAGACTGTCAATCGTGAATTTTAAAGATATGCTCCTTTTAAATATTTTAAGGGTACAAAGGGACATTGTACACATTTCCAGCCCATAAGCTCTCGAAACGTGTATGTGCGTGTTTTAAAAAAAAAAAAAAAGAAAGAAAAGAAGCCCCTTTGGGAGCAGTATAAAATCTGAAAGCTTTCAGATTTTTTTAATTAATATATATATATATATATTAATTTCATTTGAAACAAAGTTAAGTAATGTCATTTTATTTTTTAAATGCTCATTCTCTAAGAACACTTAGGGAAAATATACTGAAAGTGTCACAACGTTAGGCATATCTAATTACATTTAGTTCTGTATGCGCCCAGAAGTAATTGCAATTGTTGGATATGATGATGAGACAGTGAGGTATTGGGTCATTCGAGATTTGAATTCAAGTATAATCATTTAGCTTCGTTTCTTGTAGTCACTTATTATCCCAAACAAGCGTTAGCTCAAGGAGGGCTATTAATTTGAGTAGTATTTCTAATTTCTGAATATTGTTAAAAAGTTCGGGAGCGCAGAGCTTGTGAAATACTGAACCAGTTCTGTGCAATGTATTCGCCATGGGAAACTGTATTATCCTACTGATTTAAACTATAGAGAGTTTGTGTTCATAAAAGGGTACAAGTAGTTTTCAATGAACGTTACATCTCTAAAGAAGATTCCAGTTGCATTTACGTACTCCAGTAAAACACACCTCGGCCAAGAAAGAGCCATCAATATTTACGCATATTTATTTCAGTGAAATAATAGTCTTACTCGCTAAAAGACACCTAACTGCCTCATTTTTAAATTCAACGTCGCATACGTTCATACCTTTATTCATTTTTCGGTTATCGACTCGGCTCGTTTACTTTTCGGTTATGCGACCGCATGCATTCCGAATTTTGGATACGCCTGATTTAAAATAGTACTAAAAGAAGTAATGGCATGATAAAAACATAGGACATATTAAAAAACAGTGTAGTTCTTTTCCAAAATTAAAAAAACAGTAAGATGAGAGTGATAATGGTTTGTTAATCGTCAGTATAGACTCTATATTGGGAGGTAATAAATAGAGGAGGTACAGGTAAATAGGTCCTGCGCTATAGAAAGGACAGAACGAAAATGTTACTTATTAGGGCACTGCAATCTACAGTTTTATTTGCGTGCTCGTCTCAGATTCGAAATATGAGGATGGTCGTTTGCTTTTCCTTGGATGTAAGGCTGAAATTTAGAAAATATGATTTGATTGCTAGGGTTGACGCATTTTCTTTTCTGTTAAATAGTTCTTCACGGACAATTAGAACATTGAGCAAAGCTACCACAAAATGCTTGCTGTATTAGAATTCAAATCGCTTTTTTCTGCAATTATCCTATAAAACAAGAACTGAACGAAGTATTAAATTTTACCTTTCTTCGCAAAAAAAAAAAATTTTTCTTCGGATGCCTTTTGTTAACCGAGAATTCCATTATTAATTACATCTTTCGTGAAATGGGACGTTCACCATAAAGAAATATCTAGGAAAAATTTTATCATAGAATTACTGGGGAGTGTAAATACCCAACCAGTGGGTAGCTAGAGGAGGGCGTCCGCACCGGATCAGCCCAGCTTTGGAACAGTATTTTTCGCGAGAAGCTTTATTTTATAGGGGTTACTTTTTGTGGATTGTCGAGGCATGTGAAGAATAATGAGATTTTCAATTGATATATGGAATTGAATTGAGAGGGAAAATAGTTTAAACCAGGGGTGGCCAAGACGTCGACCGCCCGCGAAGACATTTTAGGTAGTCCGCGCGACCATCCCAATAATAACCTCGGATATTAACAATTTAATTTATTACTTATGACATAGAATTAATGAATTATTTAAAATAAAAATTTACTACAGTTTACTCTTTAAAACCTAAAACAAACAGCGTAAAGTAATACAATGAATTTGTCGTTTTACAGTGGAGAATTAAAAGAATTAAATAGAAACAACTTGACAAAGTGGGATGCTTGGATTATATCCAGTAGGTGGAGCGATAATAGCGACGCGGCGAGTCGACTAGTGTACCCGTCACACCCGCCCGTTTAGTTTCAGTTCTCAGTTAATAGTCTTACGTTGCAGGTCGCTCGCTTCCTACCGCATTGATACGATAATTTGTTGTTTCAACAACCCGTCCAAAATGACTCAGCCAGGTACCAGTGCTAAGAGAAGTAAAACATACCATTATCACAATGTTGGAAGATGATTTCTTTTTTGTTATGGTGAAGGGAAAATGTGTTTGTCTCATATGTAACTCAAGTATGGCACTACCAAAAAAAGCAAACGTCGAAAGATATTTTAAAACCATGCACTTAGAATACGCTACAGACTTTCCAATCAGCAGTGAACTTCGAAAAGTTAAAGTGCATGAATTAAAGTTGAATTTACATTTACAGCAATCGTTATTTACGAGACCAGTGAAATGGGACAGGGCACAAAGCTAAAGCAGTAACATTGGCTTCGTTTAAAATTACAGAAGTTTTGATAAAGCGAAAAAAAAAAAACATTCAAAGATGGAGAATTGATAAAAGAAGCTTTCTGTAAAGCGGGAGAAGTGTTTTCCCACGATTTTAAAAACAAATCTGAAATAATATCGTCAATAAATAATATTTCTTGGTCGCGTAACACTGTGATGGACTGAAGCTATGAATAATAATTTGGAGGATTTATTAAATGACGATTTAAAAGCTTGTCCTATCACTTCAATTTGATGAATCCACGGATATTAGTGACATTGCACAGTTATGCATTTTTGTGAGAATGGTTTTCGAAGATATGCGCCGAAATTGTCTTCAAAAGAAGAGTTATTAACTATAATTCCATTAAAATGACAAACGAGAGGCCAAGATATCTACAATTCATTTAAAAACCTGATTGATAAGACAGGATTTCCAATATATAAATTGGTCTCTATTACAACAGGTGGAGCTCCAGCAATGGTCGGGAATCGAATTGGTTTTATTGCCTTGTGCAATAATGATGAGAAAATTCCCAGTTTTACCAGCTATCATTGCATTATCCATCAACAGGTATTGTGTTCAAAAATACTAAAATCTAATGATATAATGCAAATTTCTTTTAAAATCGTCAATTCAATTCGTTCAAGAAGTCATCAGAGGAATTTCGGGCGCTTTTGGAAAAAGATTTCGTATTCTGTTACCAGAAATAAAAAATTTTCAACAAATGAAAGCAGAGTACATTACTGAATTGGCAGATGAGAAATGTCTCATGAAACTAGCTTTTCTCTGCGATATCACTGCAAAACTTAACGACTTAAACCTGAATCTACAAGGAAAGAATAAATGTTTAACAGACATGATGAGCGCGATTAAAACTTTCAAAGAAACGATAAAAAGGTATGCGTCTCAATTAAGAAAACATGAATTGAGAAACTTCAAAAACATGGAGGAAGAGCGCATCCATAATCCAAACCGAGACTTCGAAGATTTCGTCGAACACTTAGATGTTTTGTTTGAAGAATTTGAAAGATTCGCTGACTTAATTAGGTTGGAAGAAATACTCAATTTTATGATATTTCCAGTTAATGAAAATGTGAACATTGATGGAGTATCTGAAAAAATAGGACATTTAATAGATACCACATCAGTCACGGTCGAGGATGAAATTATTAAATTAAGATGCGCTATATTTCTTAAATCCAGAGCATCTAGCGATACTGATTTTTGGAAATTAATTTCTGAGGAAACGTTTCCAAATACTTACAAATTGATTTTGTATTTGAAATCATACTTTGGATCGACGTATCTTTGACGTATCTGCTTTTTCAACCATGAACGCCATAAAAACCAAACATCGGTCGCGTTTAACAGATGAACATTTCATTTCGTGTTTACGCATTGCAATAAGCTCGTACCAGCCACATTATGATAAACTTGTCGCAGCTATACAGTGCCAAATTTCAACTAAACGTTAATAGGATAGTCAATTTTTGATATATGAATATTTTGATTATTTTCGTCAGTAAATTTTTATTTTGTAAATATTAATATTAAGTTTTTTTTTTAGAAAAATTAGATAATTTACCATTTTTTCTTGTTACCGAAAATAAATATATAAGCATGTACGTTACCTTAATTTAGCTCTGCCATTGGTAGACCGCCTTCGATTTTTAAAATGTGGAGTAGACCACGGATCCCAAAAGATTGACCACCCTGGTTTAAACTCTAGATAAAATATATAAAGAATCACCATTAGGTTTCAACCGCTGCATGCTCTGCTATTATTGTATCTTAATTTTGTCAGGCCGGAACTTCTGAATAAAAAGTTTATGATCACGATGACTTAAAAAAGGAAGAATGTTTATTTAAGAGAGTGGTATTTCAGAATTTTATTTCCATTATTGCTAAGGAAAACGTGTAAGGATCTTCAGTTTGACTACGTTTGTTTTGTTCCACTGTATTTCAAGCGAGCTTCCAATCAGTTGCTGTTCAGAGGTCTAGTCCTCTTGA